AGTCCCTTTTTGGGAAGTATTTTCTTGTCAGCAAAATAAACGGCCCGAAGTTTAGGTGCAAATTGTATATAAAACATCCATCTTCTTTTTAGAATCTGCATCCATTAGGCCATAAACCATTAGCTTGATTACATTAGGATGAAATTTACATGGGCCCTGTTGATAGGATGTGTCAATTAGCCCACGCACAAAATGAAATGTTCTTAAATAAACTGCCTGATTGAATAGACGGATGTGAAATCTAAAAATACCTCACTATTGAGGGGGAAGCATAGGTCTATTCTAGGTTGTAATAATAAGGCAACAGACAAAGACCAAATTGTTGAGGGCAATATTTAGCGCCAAGCCTCCCTAGCCTTTTGACTATAAATTCAACAGAGTCGTGGGAAAATAACCTTTGATTATAAAAGCGTCTGAAGCATTATGTAGTAGCCTGCCCTACACTGATGACTTTTAAAGGTGCATCCAGTAAGTTCATAATTATTGTTAGCGTCACAACCAAAATTAAACATTTAACTTCATCGAGTTCATAAGGACTTTATACTGACACCTACTGGCCTGGATGCATGAAGTTTGTTTACTAAATGTGGCCACTTCATGCTGTGTTTTGTTTTATCTGTAGTATGTTGGTTTGTTCTGTTTTTTCTTGAGCACAGGATTAATTCTCTATATAAAGTCAACACAATATTATTAGTTGTAGTAGTAGGAGTAGTAATCTGGTCAGTTGCATGACACAATATGGTGGTGCCCATGAGGAAGCAACCTGCTCCATGCAGAATTTTTTTTCTAGATAACTGACATGACTGAAGTCTTCTCATGTGGGCGTAAATCATTTTAATTGTATTTCTTTATATGTATATATTAGTGCACCTTTAATTGCTGTTAAGATGTAGCTATAAACCGCTTGACTCCTCTTTCGCACTTTTTTTTTGACTAGAAGGTCCCGTTTGCAGAGGGGGGCTATAAAACAAAGATTAAAAATAGTCAAGTGAGTATAATCCCATCATGCTCACAGTCACAGAGGCACCACGTCTGACAAACCGAGCATTAATCTCTTATTTTCTTAAAAAGGGACTCTGGTGAGCCCTACAAGTCAACGTGCAAAGCAATAGTGACACCTATAGGTCAGCTCGAGGACTGCGTTTGATGGAAGGTGCTCTTTCCCGTTTACCCCTTATGAATTATGCAGCAGACATACAATTTAGCTTCTCCCGTGGTGGACGAGGAGGTCACACGCAGCCGCATGGCTACCACAGCTGTAAGCTAAAGCTCTGGTAGCATCTTCAGCCATCAACCCTGTGCTGATCTGGTCTGGATTTCTCCATCTTTGTTCAGATTACTTATGCTAAAAGAATAAATAGAATACATTACATTTACATTTATTCATTTAGCGTACATTTTATCCAAAGTGAATTATAAACGAGAATAATAAAGCAGAAGAGCTTAATGCAAGGGAGAAAGCAATTACAAGCAGATACAATAAAAATTGAAATGACTCTACATGTGTAAATAAAAATAAAGAGAAATTACATTACATTAACATTTATTCATTTCAGAGAAGTTTGTTTGATCAAAACATAAATAAAAATAATACAAGTAGAAGCAATTAGGTCAATGGAGGAAAAACAAGTACAAGTAATTCTAAAATACTTCATTTCAGTTGAGTACTAGTGTAGATAGAAAAATACAAATAAAAAACCCCACAACCTACCCCAGCCACAATTTAACTGAAATATGGTATTGCTATTCTAATGACAGGATAAAACAAGGTTACAGAACCAAAGGACGCAGAATTCAGAGTTGAGCAGATGAGGGTGGGAAAAATTGAGCATGGGGTGTGGAAAGGATGATTTGGAGGAGAGAAGAAGGGGAAGAGAAGATCACAGGTTGCGGGGAGTAAAGGATGAAAATGAAAGGGATGATGAAGAGGCCAGGTAGAGAGAGAGAGACAGAAGAAGAAGGAGCGCAAGAAAGAAGGGTGTTACGTATATTGGTGGTATTGGGGATGGCAGAGTTGCTCCCGACAGAGCAGGGGAATAGCAGCATTGCAGTTAATAGGGTAGAAAAAGCTGGGGGGCTGTTAACTCTGAAATGTTCATTTTTTTAAACTCTAGCTTTTTTCTCCTTCCACCCCCTCCCCTCTTTTCTCTCTCTCTCTCTCTCTCCCTGACAATCGTGCTTCCTCCCCAGGCTGCGTAGTAATGATAGCTATTTGACTGCCATCAGAGGAGCTGGGTAATGGTCTCTAAAGAACCATTTCAGACTCAACCTGGCAGCGCTGGCCTCCCAAAAACATCTGCTTGCCTATCAAGAGGTACCACCTCACCAGACACACTACACACACGTAAGCACACTCATGTACACACTCATGCGTGGACACACACAATACTGTGTTGCATAGAGTCATGCCTGACTTAGGTAATGGACCACGGGAATACATTTGTGAGCTGAATACCAACAAAAATAAAAGAGGTGGTAATAGTGTTGTTGTGGTTAGGTGAATGGGGACCGGGGGCCGAAATAATACTGTCAGACAAATCTTGTAGTAATGAAATGTAAAAATGACACTAAGGGGCCCAAACATGGACTTCAGGGTATTAGTAGCCAGACAGTTCATGTGATGTATAATTTGTCTTTAATGTTATTTACTTGCTGTTCATATTGTTTGGATGGTTCTCTATTGCAGTATGACTTCCCAACATGCAAACTGGACTGCATTTTTCACCCCTGTTGAATATATTGTGGTTAATCTTGAAAGATTATAGGCTTCCTAATGGACCCTAGGGACATTGCAGGAGAGAAAACCAGACATTTCTGGGTTGAAATGTGTGAGAGGAAAAAAATCTGATTACTGTAGAAAACCTTATAATGCTAAACTTTCCTCATGTCTCTGGTAAATTTCTGCTACTCTGCCTCCCTCTGGTGGCACACTCTAGTACGTTCCTTTCATTCAGATAGTTTTCTGTGGGTAGGTACTGTGAAACATGTGCTTTCCAAATTAGCCATATTGTCAACCATATTAGGCATATTGTCAACATTACATGTTCATATACCTGGAGACCTCCTATCTCTTCAGCCTTCATTCATGGTTTCATTCAGACATGTGGAAAAAGATATGGTCAGTGATGTGAACTTCAGTGTCACTTTATTTGCAGGCAGGAGAATTAACCTGGCTCACAGGTCGTGATAGTTTTTCTCTTTGAAAGTGCAAAGCTCCAAACTGTCAGTCAGGCTGTTAAGGGGATTGCTTGCAATTGACAAGCTCTCAGCCCATTGAAGAAAGCCTAAATGAAGGGAGATTTGATTCGAGTTAAAGTCGACAAGGTTAAAGAAGCTTCCATTACTGATTTTTAATAATATAGAAACACTTGTTTTGTGTGTGATAATTCGGCTTTTATTCTGAACCTAATGGGATATTATTTTTGACTCTCAGAGGCATTATACAATGATTTACAAGTACTCCACTGACAGCACATCAGTTGTACAGAGGTACTGTGTTCTGCTTGACTGGATTTTGCAGTTAAATCCTTAGCTGCTCACTGTAACATAATGAATGCAATTTTTTGTACTTTGTTTTATTATATCAAAGCATTTGACAACAACGTAAAAGTGTAAATATAAATGTAAGGGTCATAGTGCATGTATAAGGTGAACATCTCTGCTTAAACAAAGGATATATTTGTCAAAGCCAATAACGGTAAATGAACGTCTTATTGTTCCTGTGCTTAGAAGAGTTTAGAGTGAGTGTGTGTGTGGTTCAGGCTTACCCGTCCCATGAGCGGTCAGTCCCTGACAGATGGAAGGTTCTGTGTCCAAGACGCGCCAAATGAGAGGAAGGAGGGGTTTGGGGTTGCTGTGGATTAGATTGGTCTAATAAAGGAGTTGAATCATTGAAAGGCAGATTAGGGGCCTGTGGAGGAGACTGTTTTTTGAACAAACATGCTTGGGATTTGAAATGGATCGACAATATGTGTAGCATTACGCAAACATGAGGCAACACGGCTAGTGAAATGATAAGCAAACAACTTATGTGACTGGAAATGAGCTAGAGAGATGTGTTCAGTAACAGTAAATTGGTCTTCAATGGCTACATGTCAGGCATCTTTGAATAAGCATCTGTTCGTTACCTCCAAGTACACTCACACACCCATGCACACATTGCCGTAATAAAGATGACCCACCAAGCTCGGAATCAGAGAAGTCATGTAACTTTATCTTGAGTGTACACTGGAAAGCCGATCCCCCTCTAAAGCCACTACCACTGGTGCTGGGGGAGGGCTCTGGTTACCCAGCTTTGTGTCAAAACGCCATCAGCAAAGAGTTAGAGACTGGGGAGGAGGACAAAAGCAGGAGCACTATAGAACGGGTGGATTACTGGGCCTCTATAAAGGGTCTCTAGTGTAAGAATACGTCCAATATAGCGAGACAGGAGAAAGGACGTAGAAAAAGAAAGATAAGAGGATAGGACAACAGGTGAAAGGGAGGTAGAAAAGGTGTTGAAGTAGACCTGAAAAGCTGCACTGTACTTCAGGTGGCGTTTGTTGTCATGGCACAAGCTGGCCTGGCATCTTAGTGGGCACCTTGCACACAGACATGCAGCTATTTTTCGAGGTCTCCGAGGAGAACAATTTGCCTGTTTAAGGGACATACAAGTTCTGAGGATGTGACTCAAGTAAAATGACTTAGAAGAGGACAAGGAGGAGACAAACTAATCAGATGTCAAACTGAAGGACTGAGACGAGTAAAGCATCGAGAAGAAGTAAAATAGTGTGACTCGGTCTTGAGCATCTCTTTAAGAGATCAGTAGTCGCACAATCCCAAAGGCAGCCACTGGAGAGGACAGAAAATCGCAGGTAAATTGAGAAGGAAAGGGAATGAGACAGAGGAAGCGAGTGAAAGAGGCACAGAGGAAAAGGAACCATTGGGATCAGAGTGACGTCAGTGGCTCTCTGGATTGAGGTGCTGAGTCTCTTGATTATAATCTGATCTGATTAGGAAACACAAGGGGAAATATCTCCAGAGCCTCTGCAAGCTCTCCGGGGAGCAAAACGCCATTTTTACCAAGCGGAGAGTCCAAGGACCAAGAACAAAACCAAAAGAGGAACTTAGGAGCAGCCTACTAAAGAAAGTTAAGACCTGTATCTGAAAAGAGTAAGTTACACTAAGGAGCCTATAGTGAAGTGGACTTCACTTTACTCTTCCCCAATAGGAAGAAGATTAATAAGGACAAGTAGGGGAGCTAACATTGCTGTTCAGCTTCTTCTCTGGACTTTCAACACTCTCTGGCTTCCATCTGGGTTTTAAGCCAGGATGCCCTCCAATGGCAGTAAAGCCCTCAAGCTACAATTCGGGCTTATCAATTACGAGAATCGCTATCTAACAGCAGAGGCCTTTGGCTTCAAGGTGAACGCTTCAGCTCCAAGTCTAAAGAAGAAGCAGATTTGGACTCTGGAGCAGGATGAGCAGGACGGTCAGGTGATTTACCTGCGCAGTCACCTGGGGCGCTACCTGGCTTCCGACAAAGATGGCAAGGTAAGCTGTGAGGCTGAAACCAAAGAGAACGACTGCCGCTTTCTGATTGTGGCACAGTCAGACGGGCGCTGGGCCTTGCAGTCCGAGCCATATCTGCGCTTCTTCGGAGGTTCAGAGGACTACTTGTCTTGCTTTGCTCAGACCATTGGTGAGGCAGAACTATGGGCCATGCACCTGGCCCTGCACCCACAGGCAAATCTGCTCAGTGTGGCCCGCAAACGCTATGCCCACCTAGCATCTCCAGAGGGAGAGATTGCTGTGGACAGCAACATCCCTTGGGGTGTGGATGCTCTTTTAACTCTTGTGTACATGGATGGCAAATATTGTCTTAAGACCAGCGACAGCCGCTTTCTGAACAATGATGGGAAACTGTCTTCTGAAAATGGTCGTGGGACAGGCTACACTTTGGAACTGAAATCAGGCAAGTTGGCCTTCAAGGACTGTGAGGGGAAGTACTTGACCCCCATGGGGCCCACTGGAACTCTGCGCTCTGGACGCTGCTCCAAACCTGGCAAAGATGAGCTGTTTGATCTTGAGGAAAGCCATCCGCAAGTGGTGTTTCAGGCCTCCAACAACAGATTTGTTTCCATCAGACAAGGTAAGTGTGCTAGTTGAATTTCTTTTGGCGTTCCCCTACAGGAGGACCACATGCTTCAGCGACTAGCCTCATTTTTGCTGTAGAATTGGGTGAATGTCGTTTCCAAATCTGTATGACTAAGTCTTTGTGTTTTTTCTGTACAATGAATTTCGGTAGGGTCTAATGTTGTTTTGGACAATATTGAGTTTCGTTGTATGGACAAAAACAGTTGAAACGTTCTTCAAAATATCATCTTTTACATTCCACAAGAAGGCAAGTCATACAGGTTTGGAATGTCATGAGAGTATAAATGATGGCAGAATTAACTATCCCTTCAAAAATGATTCAAGGGAACTCTCAAAATAAGGTTTGTCCCTATCCCTTAGCACTCCTGTGGCGTCTTGTGTAACAGATGTGAGTTTTCATTACATCTATTAAGTAGAAAGTTTCAGTGAAAGATTAGAAAGATTCAGTGAAAAATTAAATTTTCAGACTAAATAATATGCTAAACAATAGGATTTTAGTAGTCTGAGTATGATTTGCATTGTTGTTTACATCGGTTTCGTTCACCATTAGTGTTTTATATGCAAGCACACCAGTTCATGAAAATAACTTGCATGCAAAATTGCAGCTGCATTGCAAACTATGAGCACATAGTCAAATCTATGGAAACTAGCCTAGAGAGCAGGTGAACACTGAGTCACACCCATGAGCGTGACCTCACAGAAATAATATACGGCAGCTGTCTTTTCAGCTGAGTAGGCCAATATTAATCTGCCAGACATGGCCGAATTTTATTCGCTGGCCATGTGCTCTGCTAACAAACACGCTGCATAATTGTAGTTTCCTGTCTTGACTGAGCAACTAAGTTGTATAATGTAAATCTTGCATGCTGTAACATTATCCATTATCTCCAGTGCAGAGCTCTTGGTAAGCATTTTGAGCCACCTGCAATAGATAAATTACTGGAGAAACTGAATGGCTTTGAATATCCACCATAGGAAGCTGGGTCAGTAACAGATCCTGTCCTCTCCAGTACACTCATCCATCTCTCTCTCTCTCTTGGTCTTATGCTCATTCTCACAGATGTACACATATTTGCGCATCATTTTTTACAGAGTGATACACTTTTAGTCAGTATTTTTATATAAAAGATAAGAAGAATATGCTCTGATATACTCACATGCACATGTGCACATGCATGCACACACTAGTGGTAAGGTGTGATAAATAATTGAGTGGACAGGGGCATTTCAATGATGGTGGAGTCTGCTTTCAGAAACACAAGCCTTCCGCCGCATTTCTTTATCTGGGGACCATGCAATGCACTGGGCTACAATGGGGACGCAAATCAGAGAGTCCTTTGGGAGCAGTTGGGTTTTGGCCCGACAGGCGAAAAAACCCAATAGGGGGAAAAGAGACAATGGAAAGTGTGAAAGTATACAACAGAAAAGAGTACAAGACAGGCAGGAGGAAGAAAGATCGGGGCACAAAATCACAATGAATAGAGATATAATGCATTATGGGTGTGGACAGGTGGCTTTTTTGTCATTGTCACCTTTAAAAGATCATAAATCAAAGATTTTAGCGGCAGTTCCCTAAAGAGGACATGATGTTGTATTGTCAGTTTAGTTTACCCATGGGATAGAGTCATTTAACGCCATTCGAAAAGTTAGTTTGTGGTAGAAAAGCATGTACACCAGGAACCAACTGAGAGCACAAAGAATATTATTTATTTTTACCAGCTAAATAGGTTGCAAGGCAGCTATTATATAAATCCTCCAATAAATTGTGAGGTCTTAAATGTAAGTAGCTGAAGCCATAGTCAAAAGCTCTGGATTGTTATCAAAATTAAGAGGTTCGATGTTTGAGTCACACATTATGACTCTTATTGAGTTCTACATGGTGTGTTTCTCTTGCTTCAAATGGTTCGGTGTCGATTCAACATTAGGAAACATCAAGTATCAACATATTACCAAAAAAATCAAGGCATTTCATTATGGGTGAAAAAAGACAGGGAAAATTACACAGGCCAGATGGAACATTTGTTCTTAATGAACGAGAAGCATCTCTCCCCATCTATTGCAAATTCATTCTGTGCAAAAAGCAATTAGGTAAAGTAATTTTGCTAATGGATGAAGCAGTTCATTTCTTTTAGAGAGTCTCTACATGATGAAGGGAACCAGAGATGACTTCAGACAGGACTGCCAACCAGCTCTGCAGGTCTGACGTTCATTAAGCCCCAGGCCTCTCGCCCTGGGATGCAACACAAACTCACAGATGATCTTTTAATCAGTAATGAGTAGTGACATTGCATGGTAGTTTTTCAGAAATATTGCTATTATTGGCTGACGCTTATTAGTTTGCTTTTGTCGTGGTGTACTTTTTCTGCAGCAGCTATGGAGCATATTGTGTGGCACACAAACTTGAGTCGGAAAGATGGCATCCACTCAGACTGGTGGATCTGTTACCATGTTCTTCGTCACCTCCACAGTGTTCCCTGGAGCATTCTAATCCGGCCCGGAAGGTGAAAAGGAGATGAGCACAAAGGAAGAGATATTGAGAAAGAAAGAAAGAAAGAAAGAAAGAAAGAAAGAAAGAAGCTAACAAAATGAGAGACAGTATATTGTGGCATCACTTTACCATTAAAAATTAATCTGAGAGTGGCTGTCTTGGTACATTTGGAGATCACAGCTTTAGTTTTGGGCCAAATATTTCTAAGTAGACATTTTCACATAGAATGGGATCCAAACGTCTGGGACCACTAGTGGAAATGCTTATATTTTGCATAATTATAGTTGAATACAATTTTTCATGACAAATTGTATTATCAACAAGAGTGAAAGTTGAATTGAAAAATTAAAATAAGTTTCAGAATCCCTTTAGTTTTTAGTTTATGTGTTTAGTTTATCCCCTTTCTGCGTTGGGACAGCAGCACTTGAGCTGCATGCACACCAGATGTTTATTATTTTATTTTATTTTATTTTATTTTCAATGTAGCCCCAGACTTTTGAACCCCACTGTATACATGCATGTTAAACCAAAACCTATGCATTCTGTAGTCACCTTTTGTAGTGTTCTCCCGTATATTTTTTGTGTTCTCCAGTAGGTATTTGACCTGGTACGCATGCAGCGATCTACTTGCCCCAGTTTTGAGAAGGCCCTCTTGCTGTCTCTTGCTGTCTCTGTCTCTGGGTACTGTTACCATTCCACAGAAATGGGTTGGTAAATTGAGAGGGAGCATTTTGTGATGGGAGTGAGGTCATTCGCAGGAGTTCAGGATTGAGCTCAGTAATCACAGTGCCGTGGATGAGGAATGATCAACAAAGGAGATAGAGTGTCCTGCCCCAGCTGGCCTCTCTTCTTCTATCTTTGGTGCAAAACTAAAGCAGAGTCAGACGTGAAATTGGAAAATAAAGTGTAACGGGCCGCAGAAATGGAAACCGCTGCAGCAGGGTGATGTCTGATCTGAGAAAGAGAAACATGTGAAGCTGTTTCTTTTTTGTTATCCCTGATTTTGTCTTGATTAGAAGCTAGACTTTGTTTTTGGCGGCTTTGGCTGTAGTTGTACTCTGGTTCCAACAAAAACAATGCACTAACACCGTGTTGTCTTAATCCTGCATACCACATATTTCTATCACTTAAAGTCATTAGGGATCGGATTATAGAACTAAATTCCAAAGTAAGACCAGGTAGTGTCTATTGATAGCAAAGATGAATTGTAAAAATAGTCCATGCAGTGTGAGAGAAAATGACTGGTGGAGAGAGAAACACAAGCACACAGATAGCCTAAATCATAGCAAAAAAAAGCATTCCATGATGGAGTGATCGATGGTGGCAGATTCTGCTGATAGGCCTGGTTTCTTTCCCAGCATGTCTCAGGCACCCTGCAGAGTCCCGTCGAAACAATAGTATTACTTCAGCCTCCCGACTGGTTTTCCTTGGAGCTGGAGGATTGTACATACGCTACTCCAAAAAGCTGCTTACTGGGCCCTACAGTGCAGCTTTGTGCCTCTTTGCATACTGAGAATTAGGAGAGGTTACAGCATTAGAAGGGGAGGGGCAGCCGGGCAGGAAGGATGACAGTGTGGAGGGAGAAGTGGGTAAGGTGCAGGATCTGGCCTGTTAAAGGCTTAAGAAAATGATCAAGGGATATTTTCAGATACATCCAGCCTTAGCCACGACAATCTGTTTGATGCATCTTGAACGATGCTGTTGGTTTCGCTTGATCATGAAGTTGAATAATTTATTTGCCCTACCAGACAAAAGTTTGGACACACTGTTTTGTTTCTTCTTATTTTCAAAAGCTTTTGAAGATCTCAAAAAGTTGGTTACCATCTCTGAAGAAGCTCAAATAAACAATACAATTTATTTATTTATTTATTTATTTATCATTTATGATGCTAATTTTTTTTTTAATGTTTTATCATTTTAAATTACTTACACTACCAAAATTTTTAAATAATTATGGGTTTTTAATGTTTTTTTTTTAAAGAAGTCTCTAATGCTCACCAAGGCTGCATTTATTTGATTAAAAAAAATACATTCAAAAAGTAATATTTTGAAATTAAACCAAATAATTCAATTGTACCACATTAAACCAATATATTATATTGGTTCCTAATATTGTTGAAAACAGTTTTTGCTGCTTAATCATTTTGTGGAAACCATGCCACATTTTTCAGGATTCTTTGATAAATACAAAGTTCAAAATAACAGCATTTATTTAAAATAGAATTCTTTTGTAATATTTTTGATCAATTTAATGTGTCCTTGATGAACAAAAGTATTAATTTCTTCTGTTTTTAAACTCTTACTTACCTCAAACTTTGAATGGTAGTGTATCACAGTTTCTACCAAAATATTAAGCAAAAGCTGTTTTAAAATTAATAATAAGTATAAGATGTTTCTTGAGCACCAAATCAGCATATTTAAATGATTTCTGAAGGATCATGGAGTAATGATGCTGAAAATTTTAGCTTTGCCATCACAGGAATAAATTACATTTTAAAGTATAGTCAAATTGAAAACAGTTGTTTTAAATTAGAATAGTACTATTTTTACTGTATTTTTATTTTATTTTTATTTTTTTGACACAAAAACATTATAAAATCTTACTTATTCCAAACATTTGAATCATAATGTACATACATGTATGTTTAATTCTAAATAATAATTTTTATAAATAGCAAATAACGTTTAAAACTATTAAACAATCTCTTAGCCTAAACAAAATTTTAATTGACTGACCCTACTTTTGCCACTTACAAATAAACAAGCACTCTCATGATTTTAAGATGTTTCTTGAACACAGTTTAAATTCTGGACTAATGAATGCCATGACAAAGTCCCAGGACTAATTGGCATAGAAACCCAGTGAGGTACAGCGAGGCCTCTGACCCTGCCAAGGTCATGGTTTCTATGACAAGGTTTTATCAGTGCAATGGGAAAGATACATTCACAAGTGGTTTTGCCCTACTGCACTGAATGGTAATGCAGATGCATAGTGAAATGCTGTTTGCCAATAAGAATGCATGAATATAATTTTGGTACATAGACTAAAATACACAAGGGTTTTTTAATAGAAACACACAAAGTCTACATTTTTTACAACCCAATAGCTTAATCAAGATTAATGGCTTGGATATTTAAAAAAATGTTTCAGAACACAGCCAGTGGTCTTATTGTGTAAATGTTACAAATAATACAGTGATTTGGAATGAATCTGTCATCGTGACTGAATGAGTAAACCTCCTCATTTCAAAACATCAGTGATCTTGCATTGAAATAAAGGATGCTTATAGACAGCAGAGCGACATGTTTGGGCTCCATTAACTATAGATGTGAGTCTTAAATAAACATGGTCCGCTGTAAACGTTGCACCAGAACAGGGCTCAAAGTCAGGTTGATGCCTGTCGTGCGTGGCAGTGAAGTTAATCATGCTGGTGCTTTGTCTCCTTTCAGGATTCCAAACTAGGGGAAAGTTCAGGACAAGCACACGCTATCTTGTTTAAGTGGATACATTTTAGCGGATTGTTTAACAGATACAACATACAAGGCTGGGTTTGCTCTTGCTGTTGTTCTGAACTGTCTATTCATCAAAGAGTCCTCTTTTTTTATTTTTTATTTTTTATTTTTTATTTTTTATTAGAATGCAGCATATTAGAATGATTTCTAAAGGATCGTGTGACACTGAAGACTGGTGTAATGGCTGCTGAAAATTCAGCTTTGCATCACAGCAATAAAATACATTTTACAATGTTGAAATTGATTAACAGTAATTTTAAATTAAAATTATATTTCACAATATGACTGTTTTTACTGTATTTTTGATCAAACAAATGTAGCATCAGTGAGCATAAAAGACTTCTTATAAAACCATTAGAAAAAATTACCACCACCAAACTTCTGAACAGTAGTATGTTCATGTAATATATATAATTTTAAGTTATAGGGCTTTTTCAAGTGTTGTTATAGTCATACAGCCTTCAAGAACTTATAGTTAAATTGAATCTGACTTAAGTCATTTTTATGTTTAATTGAAAATGTACTGACTTCTAAAATGTCAAATAGGATTGCTAATAATATGTGTTTGAGGCACAATTTCAAAGCTTCATTCTGAACATTATTTGAATAAATAAGCAAAAATTCACTGCTCCCCCATATATGCATGTTTTAAATTAAAAGCATCGAATAACAATTGTCTTGTGTCCTTTTTGTTTCTCTATGTGTTTCAACAGGAGTGAGTGTCTCAGCCAATCAGGACGATGAGACAGACATGGAGACATTTCAAATGGAAATTGATAAAGACACAAGAAAGTGCAAATTCAGAACTAACGAAGGGAATTACTGGACGCTTGTCGCTCATGGAGGCATCCAGTCAACAGCCACGGAAGTGTAAGATTTAACTTTACATTTCAAACTTTCTGTTATGAAAAATCATTCTTTTCCACTTATATGAAATATGGCATGAGGGCAAGCAACAGTCCTATTATGTAACAATCAGTAAATGCAACCATAACATCCATAACACAGTGGTAAAATAACAGAAATTGTAAATCCATTTCATTTACTCCTGTTCTCAGTGGGTGTATATGTTTTATTAACACTTATATATACAATCTCCCACTGTGTGCAGCGGTGCCAACACCATGTTTGACATAGTGTGGCTCGGTCGACGGGTGGCACTGCGAGCCAGCAATGGAAAATACGTATGCAGTAAGAAAAATGGCCAGCTTGCTGCAGTCAGTGACTCTGTGGGTGAGTTCATACTTGATACTACCCACAAATCAAATCAAAACATCTAAATCAAATCCAATTTTATTTGAAAAAAGTATAATGATACAATATGTCACCCTGTTTTTTCCTCCAGGTGAGAACGAGCAGTTGATTCTGAAGCTGATCAATAGGCCCATTCTGATCCTGAGGGGAGAGAATGGTTATGTTTGCCACCACAAGAACTCTAATACACTGGACGCCAATCGTTCAGTCTATGATATATTTACACTGCAGTTCAATGACGGTGCATACCACATTAAAGGTGAGTTTTAATCCAGCCACATTGTCAATCATTTTAATCTGTATGTACTGTAATAACTCCTAAAACAGATTCCTGGAAAGCAATTAACAGCTTTTAATTCCTGGAAATGTATTTAAGGTCAAAAATAGCTTCTGGCAATGAGTTCTGTTAAGTTGTAAGCAGTTGTCAGAAATGTCAAAAATAAAATAAATATATTTAGCCTTTTTTTGATTATTCTTACATATTTTACAACATTATTATGTATACCAAATGTTAGATGATAAAAAGAGAGCTTTTTTAGGTATTGTAACAGTTATACAACCTTCACGAACTTCTAGAATTTGACTTGATTAAATGTAATTTTATAATGATAAAACTAGAATTATGAAATACAACAAATTTTAGATGATGAAAAAATAGGAATATAGATATTAAAATAGGATTTGTCAGGCAATGTCACAGTTATACAACGATTGTGAGCTTGTAGTTAAATTGAACCTGACTTGATTAAGTCATTATTAAATGTAATCAGTGTCAGAAATGTCAAAATATTTTTTATTAATTAACCAGGTGGAACTGATTTACCTACATACAGTATTTTCTTATAACCATAAAAGTAGAATACACAATTATGAAATATACCAAATGTTACGAAATAGTGAAATTCAAAATTCAGCATTTTAAATATGCAACAAACATTTAAATATAATTTTTAGCACTTTGGCATTTTTGTCAGAAATTAACCAGGACTCAAGTCATGTATGTTAAGAAGCTGACCAGCATTGTTTTCCTACAGGTGCTGGTGGAAAATTTTGGTATGTGTCCAACAGTGGCTTGGTGTGCACTGATGGAGACACACCTGAAGATTTCTGCTTTGAGTTCTTAGAGCATGGTCGGGTAGCTATAAGGGGCAAAAACGGCAAATATCTGCGTGGAGACCAAGGAGGCAATCTGAAAGGAGATGGAGAGATTGCAGACAACTCTTCCCTCTGGGAATACTGACACCATGTGGACATTTAAGGAACTGTCACTCACCTGTGTTAAACTCTTGGATTTACAAATATGAGAAAAATAAATTGGTACAATTAAGGTTTCATATTTCAACATCTGTTTTCCCATCAGTCAGCATTTGATGTAGAGTCAGTATTCAGAATTGCGTATGTATTATTAACCATTTCTGGTGTATAGTCAAAATGAGGCTGTATAAAAATAATTCAAACATAAGAAGAACCTTTATCATATAAACTCACTTTTGCACACTGTTAGGAAAAATGTGTGAGGTTATGATCTTACATAAAACTTGCAAAGCATGCTATTACTGTGGCAGATCACTTCTAACATCTCTGTTCGTTTTCAAATTGACACATTATAATTCATTACTGCTGGGTTTTTTTTTTTTTACTTTAATGACCCATTATTGTCTTGTCTTTCATGCTATTATTTATTATCATGTCAATGTTTGTCAGTTCCAGTGAAGCTTGTTTTATTCTCTGGGGTTACAGACTGCTGTGTTTGTAATATATGGACATACATGGCATTTAAATATATTTAGGCCTGGCAAATGAACTCTGCTTGTTGTTTCTTTACGTTACTAGTAACTGACAGGGAAGCCAAGCAACCAAGAAATGAAAGGTACCACCAGGATTCAATTTATTTTATTCCCTACTGTGATTTATTTGCTTTCTCTTTCTTAAGACCATCTGGAAAGGTTTTAGAATTATTACAAAAAAAATCCTGTCTCTTAATTCTGGAGGAATTAATCTCATTTACTGTAACCTGGGGTTAGATAAAACAAATGGATTGTTCTGCTCTGAATTTAATTGGCTGTTGCTGTGTGCTTTACACAGCTCGCATTACTACCGACCGAGATGACCCAGCATTGTTTGTGAAGACTTGCATTGCTTCAAAAATAAACTGCTGGTAGCTGCAGTCAATATGATAAAAAATTCGAAACCCAATAATAATTATATACTTGTACGCTATTGCTAAACAGTTTCAGAACAGACGCCTGTTGAAACTGTCCTTGGTAACCAGTTTCCATTGAAATACTGTAACTGACATGTCCTTCATATAGGATTCCCACTTACAAAGTTTGCAACAGTGCACTCTATGTGTCTATATACAACGAATAAAACAGTTTTTGTAAAGATACAACCTAATCCTTCAAAAATTCCATTAAGTATTGTGAACAGTTATCAAAAAACATGAAAAGGTCTCATGTGCCTTACAAACTTGTAACACTTATGAGCTAGACACAAAAACATATTGGCCAGTTCACCAAAGAGCTTTAATAAACCACAGTACAGTCTCTGCAGAAAAGAGATAGAGAAAAAATGACGTGTTCCATAAAATGAAAGTTACTTTATTATTAATCTTATTATATTATTAATAAGATCATAAAGTTAATAATGCTAATGTATACACGTATTTACGTAGGATATTCTCGATCTGCGCATGCGTGGAAGTTACATCCTGTAGCCAATCATAACTCGCGCTCTAAATTTTAAACTTTAACCGGAAGAAAAGACAACAACAAGCAAGCCACGCGAGTATCTCGGTCTTCTTTCTTATTATTTTAATATTACTCTCCATATTCAAGAAAATGGATCGTAGTAGTGACGACCAGACTAAAATGTACTTTTATGAGAACAGACTTCAAACATTCGTTGGTTGGCCGTTTGAAGAGGGCTGCATTTGCACTCCAGAAAACGTGAGTAATCCCTTCGATCCGTCAACACAGAAAAGTTGTTTTGTAGTTGCTGAAATTGAGTTTTTTTTCCTCTTTATACTGCTTTTTTTTGGTTCTGTAGATGGCCAAAGCTGGATTTATTCACACCCCGTCGGACAATAGTCCAGATATAGCGCAGTGTTTCTTCTGTCTGAAAGAGCTGGAAGGATGGGAACCTGAGGATGACCCTGAGTGAGTCCATGTCTGTTCAACTTTCCACTGTTGCATTATAGAGCTGAGAGAGGCTTTGTCTCTGTAATGCAATAAGACGCGGATTGCAAGTCAGGGTTATTTGATTTATGAAATGTCATAAGTCCTCTGGTTATTGTGCATTTTGTTCTGATGTGCTGTGGTGTTCTTGTATTATCAGGAATGAGCATAAAACACATTCTCCTACCTGTGATTTTATCTTGCTGAAGAAGACTGTGGACAGTCTGACTGTGGAGGAGTTTCTGAAACTTCAGAAAGAGAGACAGAAGTTTATCATTGTAAGTATGAGCTTACTGACACAAAATGTCAAGCCACATTTATTTATATAGAACTTTATACAATACAAACTATTTCAATGCAGCTTCACATTCATAAACATTAAAAGTCCGTCTTGTAGAATTCATCAATTATAAAACAAATTCGATTTCGGCTGTAAAGCAGTTCCACAGAAGATAATTGTCATTCTTCAGCTCAGATTAGTTTAGTGTTTGAGTTCAGGTCAATGTGTGTCGATGCAGAGTTTTATAGAAAATTAAAACCATAAAATGACTTTTGTTGCTTGAAATAATCATAATAAACTTCATATAATAGTACCTCAATGATACTAAAATAGCCCGTGTCAATTTTGCAAAGTTCATCAATCGAAACAAGTTAAATTCAGCTATAAGCAGCTCTGCAGAAGGCAATAGGGTCATTTATTTAGCTCAAAGTTCAATGTTCATTCAATTCAGTGTTGCAAAGTTAGTGTAATTATCCATCTTAATTTAGTTCAAATTTTGTTCTCATCTGGTAGTATCAATGCAGTTGAATCAATAATATTACTGAATATTAATTGTCTTAAACCCCTACTCAGCAAGCCAAAAGTGACAGTGGCAAGGAATCAAAAGTCCATCAGGTGACTGTATTGGATGAGATTTAAAAATATATATACTTTGGCAAAAATCATAATCACGATTATTTTGATTAATATCGTAATCACAATTATTTAACACTATTATGAGAGGGCTACTTGACCAAAACAAGATGTATTTTCTGTAAATAAGGTTGCAATGACGTCTGCATATTAGATACCAGCAAAATTTCACAATTCTCAATACCACAGCAGAGTACTAGGCTAACTCATACATGTTAAAATAATAAAATAAATAATAATAATGTAAAAGTATTTAGCTTAACAGCCTACTTTAAAAGGTGACTTTACATGTCCGTGTTCTGTTCCGTCTCTGAGTGTGTGCACAGAAAGCCTCCTGAGGAACAGCACAAGTTCTCTTTCGCACTTTTAAAAACACAAATAAATGTAATAAACTTTTGCATTTTGCGAAAGTCACTTTACATGATTTTACTGATCTGCACATGAAGTTTGGGCTTTTATGGAGGAATGAAAGCACACCGCTGGAAAGGGGGAGGAATAGGGCACAATAATAGTTTTATCTCGATTATTGTATTTTCATAATCGTTGGAGGTTGAAATCGAAACTGTATTTCGATTAATTGCACAGCTCTAATACTAAATACTTATATATATAAAGTATAAGTTATACTTGTATTACTTGCATATAAAAAATTATATATATATTAAATACTTCCCTGAAATCTGTATAACATTGTAATGCATTATGATGTGAATAAAACGATTAGATATGATCAAGAGTTAAAGTGAAGTCTCAAACCCCTTTTGTTAGCATTTTGTATATTCTATGCTTTAGTTTTATAAACTTACCACTCTTACGGGACATTTAATTTATTATACTTAAAATATGTTTTATTTCTAGGAATTTCCTTGATCGTTATGTAAACAACTTTTAGACCTGTTGTTTTAAATACCTCTCAACATTTTTCTTAATTTTCCCTAATAGATGAATGAGTAATGTGGATAGTTGTATTTGATTTATATTTCTTTGTGACAAACTACATCTTATTTGGAGTCCCAAGTCAATTTTTTGCAACAGAAGTGCATCTTTCAAGTTTCCATAGCTGAATATCAGTATATTTTTCTTGATTTTGTAATCTTTCAGAAAAAATCGTGTAGCCAGGCGATTGATAAATTTGAAGAGGCAGTGAAGATCAAGAGAGCCCAGATCATCCAGACTGCGATGGGGGAGGAGTGAAGAGTTTCATGTAGCTGTGGTCTGATTTTTAGTTTTCTTTTCTTTCCTTTATATGTCATGGAACGCTGTATGTTCTTTTTTTAAATGTTACCTGGGATGAAATTTGTATGTCACGCCACCTGTTGAAATTGATACACATTCTTCCTTCTTATATAGTATTTGTTTTAAAATGAGCTTAATAGAAAAAACTCTCCCATGGCCTCTGTAAAATGTTTTAGGGACATTTTTCAGCCTTATTTCTTGTTCTTTAAGTCTTTTTGTTTGTTTGTCTGTTCAGTATAAAAAATGAAATAAAAAAATGACTTGTATCTGTAACATGAGTTTTCTCTCTTGGGAATGGGAAAACCTGGAAATATCAGAAAATGTTCAGGTCAGGAGAAGTCAGTAGTAGCCTAGTTACTGAGATAATGGCAGCTCAGTTCTAAAATATTACACTGTCTAAATTGCTCTTATAGTGAGACTTATTTCTTTTAACACTTGGGAATTCAGTGGTTTTGTTTTTTTTGATTGTGAAAAGGATGTTTGAATAATGTCATGGAGGGTGTTGGTTATGCACTGTACGTCATGTTTCCTCTGTACCAGTCACGCGTAATCTTGCGCTCCGTGTTAGTTGGACACGGACTGCGCACACCGGTGAGGAATAAATGTCCAAGCAACCCACCTTTTCTTTTAACACCACAACTTTTCTAGTAATAACATAACACCCTGCATGTCATCTTATGCTATTGGCATCTTGGATGGACAATCAACATCACTTATTCCAGCTGTTGGGCAGCGCGCGTGATTTATTCCATGAGCTCCAGGGACCCTTCAGTTAGGAATCTGATCGCGTCGCACAGCCAAATGGTATGGTTTTCAGCATAGTTTTTGGATGGTCCTGAATCGGAATCGAAAATATATTCTGACCGATATGAAAATTACATACGGTTTCGTGGTCGTCGGCGGGGGTTTAACGGGTGTTCTCAGTTTCAGCTCTTTAGCGCTCGCCATTGGGACTGAATACTGGTACATCATCGAGGACAAACGCGCAAACCACACCGACCCGGCGCGCACTAACTCTGGACTTTGGGGAGTAACAGATGGTATGTCGACCTTCATTTTCATTCTCATGTCTTTACCGTGTGGAGCTGTTGGCTTTGATCATAGTCCGATTATTATTATTATTTTTAATAGGTTCCTTTGGAATATCTTGGGCTTTAAATTGTGCGTGTAGTTCATTTGACCAATTGATTTCCAGGACTTTACCTGGAATAGTTGGATAAAAATAAATAATTGAATAGAGACTGCACCCACAATACAACATCTAGCCCAATAATTAGTTTAAAACTGAGCATTTAAAAAAAAAATTTAATTAATTAATGTCCATGTCTTAATTTCTGTAACTTTCTTGGCGCATTTAAATTGTCTTCTGGCGCC